GCAGTTGGACAGGTGTACCTAATAAAGTGGCCGGTGAGTGTATATAATGTTGTTGTGTTTTTGTTTTTTTTGGGCATCCCTTTTTGGAACCTATGACCTAATATGGTCAAAGGTTTTGTCTTGCTAGTTTTTTCCAATGTGGGCACAACTCCTACATTGGTTTTATGGCACCCGGTATTCCCAGGTGGTCTCCCTTCCAAGTACTAACCAGGCCAACATATATATAGCACAAAAAGTAAGTGTATTAAGAAAACAGAATTTTCAAGTCTCCTATAGAGATAATCAGGTGTTTACATTTGTTTATGGTTAAGAAATTCAACACTAAATCCTGAAGAATTTTTACTTGAGCACAAACACCCAGGCTGAAATGAGGCTTGATAATTCTGACTCCTGCAGCTGTAGACCACTTGTCAGAAATAGTAGGAATTTATTGTGGAAAACCACAGCACGAATTATTGGATTCAAGATATTATTTGCATAAACCTGATAGTTTCCTTGCTTCACCTGCAAACAGGCGATACTGAAAACAAATGTGGCATAGTGACAGTGCCCAGCGAAATCACAGCTAACCATCCATTCATCTATCCATTATCTTCTACCCGCTTCTTCCTTTCAGGGTCATGGGGTCACTGGTGGCCATATCCAGCAATCACTGTGTTAGGGGTGGGCTCCACCCTGGTCAAGTCCATCACAGGGCCACACATAGAGACAAACAACCATTCACGCTCTCACACACATCTAGGAACAATTTAGAGTTACCAGTTACCCTAACGTGCTTTTGGTCTGTGCTAGAAAACCAGACTACCCCGGAGAAAAACCAGGCATGCACGGAGAGAACATGCAAACTCTACCCATAAATGTCCCAGACCGGAATTCAATCCAGCAACCTTCTTTCTGAGAGGCAACAGCTCTACCAACTGAGCCACCCCAGCTCATCACAGCTAACCTCAGCTCTGTTTTCTGTCCCCTTTTAGTCTGAAATTGGCTTTGGGAAACTTGAGACCTACATCAAACTGGACAAACTAGGCGAGGTAAAAAAAATCGATATGGTCAATACTATGCTTGCCTAAATTCTTATTTTTTTAATGCATTCACGTTTCGTTTTCAGGGAACCTATGCCACAGTGTTTAAAGGCCGAAGCAAGTTAACAGACAATTTAGTAGCTCTGAAGGAGATACGCCTGGAGCATGAGGAGGGTGCACCCTGCACAGCCATCCGAGAAGGTACCCAGCTCCTGTTTGCATGTTTAAATCAAATGATTTGGTGGTAAAACTCACCAGAATACGTGCAGTATGTGAAGAAGCTTGTATGTGATAATCAACCTATTAGTTTGCTGGATGATCTTTGAGCTGTGTCGCAACCTAAATGTTGTTTTGATTTGACTGATTGTGTCTGATGTGTCTGTCTCTTTAAGTGTCTCTACTGAAAGACTTGAAACATGCAAACATCGTCACTCTCCATGACATCATCCACACTGACAAGTGCCTGACTCTTGTGTTTGAATACCTGGTACGTACCATAAATCTTAAGGTGTGAGTGAATCAATCAAGTGTATATAATGGAAATGTCTACATTTCTTCATCAGGAAAAAGACCTCAAGCAATACATGGATGACTGTGGAAGCATCATGAGTGTCCACAATGTCAAGGTCATTTCCAAGTCAAAACGTCCTCTAAACATAGAAAAAACWTGCGTGCTTTGGTTATTGGGTTACAAAATACTTTTTTTCTTTGCCTCTTCAGATTTTCCTGTTCCAGCTTTTAAGAGGACTAGCCTACTGCCACAGAAGGAAGGTTCTCCACAGAGACCTAAAACCCCAGAACTTGCTCATCAATGAGAAAGGAGAGCTCAAACTGGCAGATTTTGGTAAATCCTCATTTAACTAACTAGAAACACAATCTCAGTTTTGTATGGAATGCTTTTAAACTAAAGTGCCAAGAGTTAAAATGTTGATTTATATTAAACAATCTTAGATCTTAGMGTTAAAGGTGTTTGAAAATAAAACAAAGACCCTTAACTCTTATAGTGACTCCTTTGGGTTATGTTGCACTTCAAACCCAACGGGGTACCTAAGTTTGAAATAACTAACCTCCCAGAACAGACCCATCTGTTCAGAGCTTACCAGTTCTTTCATACAAATATTACCTCATCATGATTTAGTGTTAGGCCTTATATAAAAAAAAATGAATGAATTCTTTATTTACAACACAATACTGCCCTCTTTTGGTGAGTTTTGTATTTGAGCTTTGAAATCCCGTTTTGAACATAAATCCGGTAAGAAAGCATATTTGACTCAGTAATCAATAAAATATTCAGTTTGCAAATCTCTCTAAAAATGTCTTTAAAATATATATTTATAAAGGTAAATTAAAACTTAAAAGCAGCATTTTATTAATAATAACTTGTTTTTCCCCACATCACTGAAAAAGAGGCAATCTAAAACTAACTTTGTGTTCCATGTGGTGTGTTTTTTCAGGTTTAGCTCGAGCCAAGTCTGTTCCTACGAAGACCTACTCAAATGAAGTGGTGACCCTGTGGTACCGACCTCCAGATGTGCTGCTGGGCTCCACTGAGTACTCTACGCCCATTGATATGTGGTGAGATATCTGTAAATGTCGACATCGTAAGAGGTCRGACTCAGCTGAACTGTTCTGATAATTTAGATGTAAAGATTAGGAAAAACAACACAGAATGTCTTTATTGTTGGGTAAGTTACTTTTTGCTCATGGACACAAAACRGTCAGGGAAGAGGTTTGTTTCTCCTTCTTCACATTTGTTTTTTGCAGTGGTGGGGAGTAGTTTTAAAAAGTCACTGAACTTGCAACTTTTCCAACTATTATCAGTTGAAGTTGACAAAGTAAACATTGCACAATTTAGTGAAACTCTATTTTTTTTTTCCTTAATATTTGTGCAAAGGATCACTGTATACTGTATAAAGTCAAGCTGTACTTTCTGACCCCCTTTCTGCAAACATTGCTAATAAGCTTTGGCAAACATGGGCATAATGACAACACGAACATTTCAGAGTACTTTTGAGTTTTTAATTTGTGTAACAATTGTAGTGAAAACAAATAATGTGTAGGTTTCGTTTGGTTCCTGGGCAGTATGACGGTATTTTGTTATACCGTGGTATCAAAATATGGTGAATATGGTGAAGCACCAAATTTCTACAAGGCTTCTATGAAAACAGGGACATAAACCTTCTAGGCTCTTTCAGAAGATGCCCCATAACGTTACTGACGTGTGTTCTGACCACCTCAGAGAAACCCCCCGTCTGTCGCACCTCTTTACCTCAGAACAGCGTAAAAAATAAAAGCCTCTGAGCAAGATAGTGACAGACACGTTACTTTCCAGCTCCTGAAAAGATGGGTTGACAAGTGGTGACAGACAGCTTCAGGACCAAGCAGCTGGAGATTTTTTAAGTCAAACAAAAAGTGGGACTCTATTCGGATTTAAACTTTCTGTGATTTGATTTATTTTGTTTTCGATATAATAAGAGGCAAAGCCATTCTGTGACTCCTCTCCTGCTGCTCTTGAGTGGCAGCAACACGTCAGAGCAACAGTTTTTTTCCTGCCCCTCTCTGACTGTAGAATGTCAAGCTACTGTATATGCTGCTCACAAGCAGCCATTTCCCTGTTAATTATTAATCACCCACCCCAAACCCATATACCGCTGTATTTTCTAAACGTTATACGGCTGTATGGTCAATACTGCCCAACCCTAGTTCTTGTAGATTATCTCAAGACCCTTAACAAGCTCACACTGGGTTCTTGACACCGATTTCTGTAGCGTTGTGAGTTTATGGAACAGTTTTAGCTCACTTAACTGTGTAACGCTTACTCATTGTTGATATTTTGCCAGTTTCAGCTCATGTGCTGAGTTGTGCCTGTATTTTCTGTTCCTCCTCCAGGGGTGTCGGCTGCATCTTTTATGAAATGATCACAGGCAGGCCTCTCTTTCCTGGATCCACGGTAGAGGATGAACTTCACCTCATATTTCGCATCCTCGGTGAGACATCAGTAGAAACGGGAGCCTTCCAGCTTTTGTGTTTTTCTGCTCGTGAAACGCTGTTAACTACTCCTTTTTTTTACCTTCATCAGGTACTCCTACAGAAGAAACCTGGCCTGGTATCACAACCAGCGAAGAGTTTAAGACGTACAACTTCCCCCGTTACCACGCTGAGCCGTTCGTCAACCATGCACCCAGGTACAGGCAGAGTTGGGTGTGTGATAGTGTTGTTTTAGATATAAAAGATAATGACCCTTGATTTGAAATGGCATTTGTACAGTTTCGTGACACTTTTTCCCCCCTTCATCTCTGATCCCATCACAGGATAGACAGCGACGGTCTGAACTTACTCTTAATGCTCTTACAGGTAAAGTACATTACTGTTTAAGGTATGCATTTCTTGGGCACCGGATAAATAATTCACAAGCCTGTCTCTGTGTGTCTTCAGTTTGACGCAAAGAAGCGTGTATCGGCCGAGGACGCTCTCAGACACGCATATTTCAAGAGTCTAGGGGAGCAGGTTCAAGCTYTGCCTGACAGTGAGTACAAACATTACAACATAAATATTCACTTTTTTTAGCACAAACTGATCTGCTCTCTGTGTTTTGTTTTTATATTAGCTGCTTCAATCTTCTCCGTAAAAGGCATTCAACTCCAGAGAGATCCAGGAAAGAGATCCTCGCTCCACCCCGAGTCCAGTAAGTCCTCCATAATTTAAAAGGGAGGAAAAAATAGAGACACTTAGGAACCCTTGACTTAGATAGGACAGAGGATAGTCCTGTACTCCAGACTTGTTTCTTGTCTTCCTTTTCTTTTCTGTTTAATTGTTGTCTTTATGTAATGTCTCATCACASTGTGTGCTCATGTCCCATAGTTTTTTTTCTTTTATAATGTTCAGGTTTCTACATGTTTACAGCCTAAATATTAATGTTGCAAAGCATGCTGTCATTGTTAGGCTATATTAGACTTTGGTAATAACTGTATTTAAGTCCAAATATCACTAAATGTGTTTMATTACTAGGGTTGGATAGTACTGATCTTTTTTCATACCGCTATATTATCTTTTGATAATACCACGGTATAAAGTGTTACCAGGGCAGGGAGAAAAGGGATGGGATTGAGCTGTTTTTGCCCACGAGACCACCGTTTTTCTTTCTGCCTGCCACTGCAGCGAGCATCAAATAGGACAGTCATGTTTAGGAAAAAAAAGTAGCATAAACATGTTGGCCCCTTCAGTGGTTTACCTGTATCTTGATCCTCAGAAGTCCGTAATTTTCACGAAAAATCCATAGTACATAGTACAAGGGTTTAATAACTCGGTTTTATTTGGCCTGTCAACACAATTTAAAAAYTGCRGTTTAGTTTTAAGTCTCAACTTTTGACACAAATCAAAACMGATTCTTAGAGAAGGTGTATCTTTCCAGTKAGAGGGATTTAAATTGGTCAACTAGGCTCCAGAGGGTTAGCGGTAATATACCTACATAACTTTTAAGTAGCTTCATCGTATTTCAGTACCGAGGTATACCACAWTGCCATCATACTGCCCAAGTTTATTTATTACCTTTCAATAGCTTTAGTTCTTACTGAAATATCTCAATAACTAATATTATAATRTGTAGTTTGAACTTTAATGATCCCCTCGTATTTCATGCAGCACCCCATGAGGTCGTTGTTTGTATAATTTAGTTTACCATCAGAAAGATTGCAACGAAATTTGTACAAAAACATCCATGTCTTATTAGAGTCATTTCGTAATTCTTTTTTAATTTTCTCAGAATGAGCTTTGTGACAAAAATCTTGAGCTTTTAACTWAATTTACTCTCAACTAAAAATATTTCCAATAATTTTGGTTTTGTTTCCCTTTTTTATTTAACCAGACTGTTATACTGTCATGTCTGCTTTAAACTTGAGTACTTGATTTTAGACATCTGTAGAAACTGGCTGCTGTTTGGAGCCGGCTACAGGTGGCTTCTTCAGGAACTGTTTTTGCTACTTGGTCCCAGTTGTTTCTTAAAACCTTGAAATCAAGCCCAGACATAGCAGCATTCCAGAGACATTTGTAGGTGCTTTTATAAATGGAAATGACAGCCCCCACTTTATCTGATGMTGCTTTTTTTCCCCTTTCAGTATTAAAACTTACTGCACGTGTTCTCTGTCTGTGTTTAAGAGTGATTCATAAACACAGACAGGCTTTTTACACAGCTGTCAGCATAGTTGTGGCTCCTTGTTTTTGCCATTTTTCCTATTAAATCTTTTCTCATTTAGTTTGTCAGACAACAGCAGAAATCAAATTGGATCATTTTGAACTATTTTAAATAAGTAGTCTTCCCACCCGTGTTAAAAAATTCCCATATTTAAAAAAAATAGCCTGAAGTGCAGCTATGATTTTCAACCTTTTTTCAGCCCTTAGACATAATTAAACAATAATAAGTGTCCAGGGTTGTGTCTGTCGCCAACATTTGCTTCAGTTTTCTTCAGCGTTTCTGTTTTTAAATGTCTGTCTGTTTGTGTTGCTCTTTCCTGGTGTCGTTGTTGTCTTTCTGTCTCATTCAAATGAACGGTCTCCTCTCTTTGGTGTCCACGCTCTCTTCTTCTGCTCTGTTCATCTTTTTCTTAATCCTTTCTCTAATCCCCCCTGTGTACCCGCCTTCAACTCCTCTGTAACACCTCGACGTTCCCAACCTAACCCCACCCCACCCCCCTCTCTCCCCAACCCCAAAAAGCGATGGCCCATAAGCTAGGCTCTGCACCCTCGCAGTACTTCCAGAGAGAAGCAGCCAATCCCAGGGCCCAGAGTCACAATCTGTCCTCCACTTCCACTGGCTGAGTGGGTCCTTCCGTGCTGGTAAATACTGTCTCTTTCACTCCGCCTGTCTTCTGTTCAGCTCTCCTTCTCTTTGTAGCCACGAGGCTGCTCTTTCCTTCTTCTCTGTTGGGATCCTGTCTTTGTTGCGTTCCTATTTTTCACTGTGCATTTCACAATGTTTAAAATGCATTAAGTCACATTCCTCCCTCTTTTCACTCTCTGAACTGAAAACGCACGATTCATAAATTTAAGTTTTTTTTATTGTAGCTGTTTTTTGTTTAGTTTTTTTGTCTGTATTTATTTTCTGCCAAGACTTCTATTTTTTTTCTTTATCCTGCTACAGTCAATACTCAGAAGCACCATTTCAGGTTTTACCTAGTGCTGATTTTAGGGCTTGCAGCAGGGCAACACTGTAATCATGAAAGCCAAAGATGGTAATCAGGGAGTCCTAACTGTTCTCTCGTGCAGTCCTGTTTAGGTTTCTTCAGCGAGAGATGTAATCTTTTCATGAGTCTGTAAGTGAGGGTTTTGTGTGGAGTGTTGCTTTTTTATGAGCATGGATCTGAGTGTTTTTTCTGTTTTACTGCTGGTAAGATATTTGGTAAGTATGAGCAGCAGTAATACAAAGAACTGTATTAGTCAAAGAACTACTGAATGTTGGTTTTCTTTGCTGTGATGATAGTGAACAACATTAGATGGCCAAAAGTATCTGTTCACTCTGGAATATAAACAAATGAATGACCAAGTGTCTCACCTTTTCTCACTGGTAATTAAAGCCAGCTGGATCCAGGTTGTAGAGCAGGGCTATTCAATTAAATTCCTCCGGGGGCCACAGTTACTGCAGGCCAACAGCTAAAGGGCCAAACATCCAGCAATTACAATTATTATGTGCAAAAACCAAGTATTACAAAGATCTGTTACCTTTGAAACAGTTTAATTTTTATTTAATCATAAATACAACATACAGAATCCTATGCAATAAAAGTAGTGATGATAAAACAATATCAGAACTAAAAATGACACATTATGCCTTCCAGTTAACACAAATATAATTTTGACATCTCTGACTTTTCAAAATTGTAAACCAATTTTCACTTTCATTGTTTTATCTTCAACTGCTTGGAGTTTTAACTGTCTTGGGTGTTCATAGAAATGTTTTTTACCAGCTTCTAGCCAAGATCCTGACATTTCTGTAAATGCCAAACATGTATATGTCTAACTAAAAGAACTTATGGTAATTAAGGAAGAAAACTGGGGGTTTGGACTTAGGAGATGAATGAAGCAATTGGCGGGCCAAACTTTGGTCATTTGCGGGCTGAAAGTGGCCTGTGGACCTCCAGTTGATTAGCCCTGATGAAGAACTTCTTTGTAGTACCAAGATCTGCAAATGAACAATGCGGGGTTTTAAGTCCCGCTGCACACAATCATGGTGTCACATGAGCTTTTTTAAAACATGAAACGACTTATTCCAGCTAAACATTGTAGGAAAAAATTAGACTTCAACATACTGCAGTAAAGAACATGAGTTAAAGCAAGTCAACGCCTGAAATAATCATTTGAGGTGTAATTTTTAATTTACTAAAAGCACAGTGTTTGTTTACATGGAGGAGAGATTTAAAACATGTGAACCAGACAACAGTTTAGTTGGTCCAGTTTCAGGTTCTAAGTTCACATCAGAGGTGTATCGGTGTTGCCAATGGGGTATATTGACTAGATGCAGCACGCACACTTCTGAAGATTGACCACTGTGGTACGAACACAACACCATATTGGAAAGGGTGGGCTGTCAATTTAATTWATCCTGGCCAGATTTCTGTGTAAAATGGCATATAAATCTATATCTATAGTCTTTCATAGGTTAGCTTCTGCCTATAGAAACATCACTCATTTTAGACGTGTGTATATTTCTGCCTGATATGATAATATGTACYGACAAGCATTTCTATCAAATGAAAATAATGGTTATCAATAGMAAATTGAGTTTCAATGACGTGATGACCTAAATTTAACAAGTCATGTTTACAACATCCAGTTTTACCAGCAAACAGTACTTTCCATTTTGTCCTCACCCCGAACAATATGGCCGCTCTCTCCGACCATGAAAATTCACGTGATGGCACCTCTAGTCAATATACTTCATTGGTTGTACCATCTTTGGGTCACAAAAGACAAGTGTCCCTTAGTGACTGGTTGTGGTTCAATTTTTAGGACCCCTCCCATCCACATGAACAAATGGGACTTTTTCCTGACTAAAACAAAAAAACACTGCTGAAAGACCCTGTTCAAACCAGAAAGAACAGACTTGAATATTTAAAAAGGCCTCAAGCAACACGTGACCCACAGCTTTCCACAAGAGTCAGGTCCCACCCCGAATATGATGTCATGATGAACAAGGATGTAAACAATTGTAAAATGTAAAACATAACGTGTTTGTACTGTTAGAGCGAGGCACATATTAGGATAGAGACTTGTAGATTCTCAGTTAAAAAAAAACAATTACAATCAATCACAAAGTCTGAATTATAAGTGTGTGTGTAAAATTCTGTTAATCAGTCACAACATGTCTTAGAAAACATTTTTCAAGCGTTGATTTTTGGTAATTTGTTTGCTGCCGTATGGTGAAAATGCCTCAAAAATATTTCGTTTCATTTAGTTATGGCTTAAAGTGTTGTGTTCCTTTTAACATTAAAAAAGGGTTTTTCAGTCGTTTGTAATGTTTGTTAGTATGATATATGCTCTTATCAAATGCAGTTATGGGTAAATTGGTGCTGCTGCAGCAATTTGTGTTTTTCTGTGTTTTTGGCCCTCTACTGTTTATTTTTTTCTATTACTGGTGTGAAGTGAAACATAGAAACATAGTTGGGTTTGTCCAAAATCAAACAAAAACTTGTGTTCTGACATGTTTCTTTCTCTCTTGTGTTTGTGTTTGTCCTGCAGCCCAGGGGAAGAGCAGGAGGCAGAGTATGTTATTTTAGTTCCGGTGGGCCGACGGCACGAGGASAACAGCGACACCTGCAGCTGTCTTCTTAGATTTCCCGACCGTACCACGTTAAAAAAATAAAAAATAAATAAAAAAAAATCCTGAAGGAGCGACACACACCCTGCCACAAAAAAGTCACACACTCACTGAGGAGGAAAGAAAAGAGGCGATAAACACACACATCTATCCACAGAAAATGTGACAATGAAACCCCACAATTTTAAGACTAAAACTCAACCCTGCGAAATAAAATTGGAAGGAAAAAAAAAAGGTGACGCTGGAAGAAAAGTGGGAGAATATTTTATGGTTCTCCTTGCTGCTGCTACTACCACTGCTGTCCAGAAGAGGGCAGTGTGAGGATGTGAACTTACTGTATCAGTGAACTGGAAGAAGGCGTTCAACTCGAATCAAAAAGAGAGACAGAGGTGGTCCCTGTCACTCTTCCTTTTATCAGTTTTTTTTTTTTTTTCAGATTAATGCTGTACATAAATAGACTGAGCTGTAGAAGTCTGCTTGCTCTCAGCACACCTCGGCCTGAATCCAAACCGAAAGAATTGCACCTCCATCCTAAACCTTCATCCAACCTCTTGACCCTTTATTCCAAGACTTTAATTATTTTTCCCTATCGATCGATCTTAATCTCTATCTTAAACCTGCGGAATCACTGATGGCTCACTTGAACATGGCGAGTGTGTGTATATATTTGGAGTTTATCAAGATAAACGTTTGCACCTTATTGCCCAGCAGAGGTCAGGGTGGCTGTCTTTGTGTTACCTCATCGGTCACTCGAGCAGAGCAGGATGAGAACGTACACGCATGAAGGCGAATCAAAAAAAAAAAAAAACTGTAGGAAATGGACAGATGTGTTGCACTACTTTAGAATTTCAAAATAAAACACTCTGCTGTCCTCGCGTCAGTACCAGACTTTAAATAAACCTTCCTACGCTGTAAAGAACACTACACTTCATGACGCTGTTGTTCAGTATTTCGAGGTCAACGCTGAAGACGTACAGGTGTACAAGTCCTCACCTGCTTGTCCCAAGACACGCCCCCTCCCTCCTCTTTTGCCTTGACTGAGAAGTTGTCTTGATTTGACGTTGAACCTTTTGCACCTGATTTTACCTCTTTAACACGATTAGATAAATTTTAATAACCCTGTCAAACTCTATATGCTTTTTACTTTTTTTTTTATTCTGTTTTGTTGTTGTTGTTGAAATCTGTATATGATCTTCAGTTGTCAGAGGCGATGTTGATTCCAGGATGCTGTTCTCAGTCGTGACAGTCGGCGGCGACGTGTTGCACATTCCTTGAGCTCAGGACTTTTTTGCTTGTTTCTTTCTTTTTTTTTAACGGGTGCCGTGAGGTGATTATCAGACGTTGTGCTCATCCCCTCCCAGTGGAGCGAAATCGTGGGATGAAATCCTCGGCGAAGCTGGATTAAATCGTACGTGAAGGAGAGTTTCCTCCTCATCAAGCTGTCAGTCTTTCGGTGTCATCCATTCTCCTTTTACATCCACTGTAGTGTCTCTGTTCAGTCTCTGTTTAAGCATGTTTCTGTATTAAACACAAGTTTGTTTTTTTTGGAATTGGTATGTGAAATAGCTGCTGCAGAGAAGGGAAGAACTCCTTTTTTTTTAAATGTGCATGCGACGTGACRTTATCACATGATTCTTATCCCAAACAACACATTTTGCACTTGAAGGCTGAACCAAAGCCAACACGGAGCCTGTGAAGCGGCAGTGCAGTGTGTTGGCACGGATCAGACCACTTCCAATCCGACTCGGCTTCAGCAGAAAATCCGGAGCCGGTTTAAACGGACTGTGACATACGAGAGTTCCTGAGCATTCTGTTCACCCGTGCTGTTGGAAATGCGCACAGGCTGCCAGAGTCTCGAGGACCAAAAGAAAGTCAGTCCTGCAAGCACACAACTGTTTCACACACCAACCTGCTGACATGTACTGTATCTTTGTGAGTGGGCCGGTTCGTGTTAGATTCCCACTTCTCAGATGGATTCAGAAAAGAGTCGAGCGGTCACTGTGTCTCTGCCTGTGATGAAAACCGCTTTTCCCAGAGTGTGACAGTATGTAGCATGTACATAGAATAGAAGACCCCTCACTCTGTATATACAACAATGTACAGGTTTGATACAGCTATTCACATTCTGTTTTTCTCCCCCGTTTTGCCTTTCTTTAATAAAAGTCATAGCAATATTTCTGTAATCAATAAAAAGCCATGAAAATAGATTGTGTATGTTTTTTTGAAGGTGGGCACACATGGGTGATTCAATTGTWTGTCTGGACAACACTGATGACTATTTTCCCTGTTTAACATCATGAAACCAGTCCATAAACCAGTAAAGTCACATATGATGAAGGTCTTGTAATTTGACATGACAAACTATAAGTTATCATAAGACATATGAACATTTCTTGACTTTTTTTTTCAGCTTTCTCAAAAGTAGGATCAGAACAGAGAAACTCCTCGGTCATTGTAGTTAGATGTGTGTGTGTGTGTACCAGAAAGCAAGTATGAGAAACACTACATCCAGTTGGCACCAAAGCGAAACAAGTCTTTTGTATAAAGTAAATWAGGCAAAAATAAATTAAAAATGTGTTGTTTTGTTAAAAGTATAACCAAATGCTAATATATACTGCAATATTTTCATTGTTTCAAAGTGAAGTCTTGTTCATTAAAACTTAAATTATAT